GCATCTGAAGAAGAACCTCACTTCTTCAGATGCAAGACATCTGAAGAAGTGAGGTTCTTACCCACGAAAGCTTATGCTCCCAGTACTTCTGTTAGTCTCACAGGTGCCACAGGACCCTCTGTTGCTTGGTACCGGGAAGGACATTTTCTATTCTGTAAGGGTTTCGAGATGCTGGAAATTGTTCCCCTCGCTTGCAGCATTCTTGGAAGATTTGGAACAAGGACACACATTATAGGGTTATTTTGGAAAAGGACAAGGATGAGCTGCCTATAAATAAAAATGGGTAGAAAGGAGTCTCTGTAGGTGTTTTGCTGGCTGAGTTCCTATTGGAATGATTATCTCTGCTGTTATTTCATTATATTATATAATTAATAAATGAGTTAGGCACCTGGAGCTTTGGAAAGGTGCCTTTTTATAATTTGAATCTATACATTAAATATAATACAGATAGCACATTTATTATTATGACTTTATTGTAGCTCTCTGCTACTATAGCAAGCAATAATATATCTGAGGTAACACACTTAACTGGATATTAATTCTTCTCGAGTAGCTGAAGATACTGCTTTCAAGTTAATACTGCACACGAGGTGTGCAGATATCCAGTATAGTTTATCTATCATTCTGATCATTACATTTGCTTATAACACCCAAACTGCTTCTTGGCTGCTGAGACTATGTAAAATTAACAATTTTTATAATTTATATTTGAACAGAAAAGCCTTCTAGAAGACCTAAATCAGCACCTGTTAGTGATGGGAGTAACTTTGACAAGACCGTGACGACACTAGAAGATTCCTCTAGGACTTTTATGATAGTAAGTCCTATACCAGAATGTTGTCTATTTTGACTTGATTCCAAATAGAATACTTATCTGCATTACCCAAATGTGCAGCCTGAAAAGTGATTTGTGAAACTGCCATAAGAACACTAGACAAGATCGAGTAATGACTACACTATTAAACTCCTCTCTGGTAATGCAGAATACTGGTACAGAAAATTACACTTGCATCTAGTATTTGGAACCCATTTTTTTTTATTATTATTATTAGGGGGAGATGTTTGGTGATGGAGATGTTCAATTGCAGCTAAGCAAAATATCTTACAAAATTTACCAAATTTTAATAAATATTAGCAGAAAAAACTGGATGTTTATCTCCTACCTGAAGAAAGAACAGTGAATTTTGTAAGAATGCAGGTAGTTAAGACATACATCTTTATCAATTACTGTATGTAGCATTTGCTAGAAGTATATGAAACTTGAATAATGATTCTGTGCCTTGGAATCTGTTACTGATCTTTTAAGTTAAGAACCAGATTGGAATTTTTTGGTAAAATGGAGCTCATTATAATCTAGGCAAAAGCTGATTGCCAAAGCCTAACAGATTTTATGTCTGGATTTGTCATTATCCAATAAGCTATATCAAACCTTTTCTCTAGATGCTTTGGGTTGATGATTCTCTTGGTCCCTCCTTGCTTTCATGAGCTGCCTTCTCAACTCCAGAAAAATCCCTCAAGTTTGGCTGCTTTAAAAAAAAAGATGCCAGATGTGATAGAAAAGTTAGGTTATCTTTATGTTCCAGAAAAATGGAGACTGATTTAATGCTGTCACATTCTGGGCTGTAATCCAGACCAGTGAGGGGCTGTATCGCCACCTGCCTTGCAACTTGAGGTGTCTCACAATGTTTTGGTGCTGTAAGCTCCCAACCTGGGCCCCTAACAAACAGCATGCAGGTCACACCCTAAGTGGCTATGTATAGCTGCAGCCTGCCAGCGCAGTCCAGTCACACACTAGCTTCCACGAGCCTTGGTTACCACTTGCATGGTGATCCCAACACACTTCCAGTCCCAGATTTCCCCCCAAAATATTTTCTGCCCTGTCCAGCTATTTTAGGTTTGTTGCCCCTCTAAGGGGATCCAGATCCAACAATTGGTTACTTTTAAATGGAGTTACCCACACAATTCAGTTTAAAGACAAAACTGGAGTAGTTTTGATCAAAGAATAAAACAAGGTTATTTAATTACAAAGAGAGAGGTTTTATGTTAGTATAAGGCATTAAAGTAGAAATGGTTACAAGAGAAATAAAGATAAAATGCTTCCTAGTACTAAAGCTTAACACTCTAGACTTGGTTCAAGGTAAAAATCTTTCACCACATGTTTCCAGTAACATTGCTGACCAAAATTCTGAGGCCAGGATTTGCTCCTAAAAGCTGTTTCTTTGGTCATCTTGGGTGAAAGAATGAGGTGGACAGGGAGAGATACCTTAGGGTGTTTTTGTGCCCTCACTTTATAGGTCAGTCCCCCTTTGAAATACATTTTCCTGAAGGCTACCCTTAAATGAAGTTTATTTCCGCTGTGAGGCTGGAGTCTTGTGGTGAAAGAGGTTTCATGCTGTTGTTTGCTAAGTTGTAGATATTTGTTCCAGCCCCCCTTCCTTGGCAAGGGGCTTGTCCTTTGTCTTTGAGAAACAGGTTTATCCCCTCCCCAGACTTGTCTGATAAACAAACTTCAGTCATGATTTCAATTTTACATGCACACATTTCATCATGATATTATTGACAGCGAGTTATTAGTTTTCAAATGATACCTAACAAGGCATCATTTGTACAATGATTATTACAATAGTGTGGAGGGTATTAATACAGGGTTGCATTCTGTCAGTTGCTTACTAAAGAAATATTTTCATTTCAGGACATGTCCCCTACTGAAATATGTGTGCCATTAGAGCCCCCTACTCTTGTGTCTGCAGGCAGTGAAGAAATACAGGGAGAAATTAACTATCCTGATGGAAAGGTAGGATCAGATTTTTTTAAGAGGCTACAGAGAATAAATCTGGGTAATTAGTTCACTCTTCTAGGGGAACTCATCTTTGTTAGGGCTGCGGTGCCTCTCTTGTTCACTTTATATATGGGGCTGTTGGGTGGGTGTCCCTTTCATTTGTGAGACAGTTAGAGTCTAAGATAAATGTTGTTAAAATCTAAATACCTAAATCACTATTTCATAAAAATTGTGTTGTAAACTGTTCCATATGTACACACAAGATAGTTTCTTTCTTGAGTCCAATTGGAAATGACCAAACCAGCAAAAAAAGGAAAATGAGGATCTCATTTGTTCCCATCCTTCCCCCCATCCCATTAGTGTTTGTCTTATACTTAGTCCCTGACCCAAAGAACTTTAAACTGTCTTTTTATTCTGTTTGACTGTTAGGTTAGGTGCTGTACAATGTACATGACTGAGGCTCCTGAGTGCTATGATACTACAAATAATATTTCAAACATCTATTTAAAATAAATATGTCCTTGGGCCAGATGCCCAATTTAACAAGAATTTATACAATTAAGGGAAAAGAAACTAGTTTCTTTGCTTACACTGGTCTACAATTTTTGAGAAGTCGTCTGTTTCAGAGATAAAATGTGCTATTTATTATGTATGCTGAATTCAAATATGACAATTAAAACAACTGGCTACTGTTTCTAAGATATTTAAGTTTTTACATTTTATGT